GATCTCTGCCATCTGAAAAACAGTTGTAAATCTCCACCCTTCCCTGGAGATTGGCAATAGTGGTTCCTCAGGAGGAAATGGCTGGTTTGGAGGGTAGCGTCTATGGCATTGTACCTGTCTTGGAGGTGGCAAGTGACAACCCTATCTCCTACCCAGCCAGCCATCAACATACCATTATCTACCCCTCTGACTTCAGCTTTCGATCTCCCCCCCACACCTGGAGCCTCTAACCAGGAAAACTACAGTCTTTGTCCTCCGCATTGGGAACCCAAGCGGGAGGGGAAGCAACCTCAGCAGGGTATAATGACTCAGAGTCCACCCCGCAAAGCAGCCATTTTTTCTAGGGGAACTAATCTCTGCTGTCTGGAGAGCAGTTGTAATTCTGAGTGATCTCCAGCCCTCACCTGGAGAATGGCAGCAATAGTTCCCCAGGAGGAAATGGCTGGTTTGAAGGGTGGAGTCTATGGCATTGTGCCTATCTGAAATCCCACCCCTCCTCAAACCCCACCCTCTCCAGGTCCCACCCCTCAAATCTCCAGCAATTTCCCAGCCTGGAGTTGGCAACACTATCTCCTTCCCAGCCAACCATCAACCTACCATTATCTGCCCCTCTCTGATTTCAGCTTTCCACCCCACCCCCCACCTGCAGCCTCTACCTAGGAAAACCATAGTATTTCTCTACAGTGGGGACCCAAGCAGGAAGGAAGCAACTGCACCAGGGCATAATGACACTTGAGTCCACCCTGCAGAGCAGCTGTTTTTTCCAGGGGAGCTGATCTCTGCCATCTGGAGAGCAGTTTTAATTCTGAGTGATCTCCAGCTCTCACCTGAAGATTGGCAGCTTTGGTTCCCCAAGAGGAAAAGTAGTCTTTCTCTGCAGTGGATATCAAAGCAGCTTACATCATTCTCCTCTCCCCCTTTTGATCTGCACAACAACCCTGAGAGGTAGGTTAGGCTGAAAGTCTGTGACTGGTCCAAAATCACTCATTCAACTTCCACAGCAAGAACCTGGGTCTGGCAGACCCTGCTCTGAAGCACTAACTGCTATGCCTAGAGTAGCCAACCTCCAGGTGGAGCCTGAAGATCGCCCGGTATCACAACTGAACTTCAGACAACAGATCTCTCCCCCCCTGGAGAAGATAACTGCATTGGAGGGTGAGCTCTATGACATTCTATTCAGCTGAGGCCTCTCCCCTGCCCAAACTCTGGCTTCCATGGACTCCACCACAGAATATCCAGGAATTTCCCAATCTGGAGCTGGCAACCCTCGTCAGGACTAGCCCCAATGAGTTCTCCACAAAGGCCTGGAAAGGACTTCCTTCCTTTGTCTTTTTACTGACAGAACAGTGCCTAGCAACAGCCACTGAGGGAAAAGTTAGTCCCACGGGAGCCAAGAAGTGTCTTCGTCAAGAGAGACAGCCGTCTAGGCAGTTTTTTTCTGTGAGGGAAGAGTGTCTAGGTTGGCAGTGAGTAGGGGAGAAGAGCAGAGCAGCACCCAGCCAATGACACACGAGTACTCTTGAGTGGCGGTTGATGGGCCAATGGCTGATGGAGCGCACTGCACAGCCAGTGGGAGAGCTGGAAATGGCCAATACGCAAGGGAATTATATATATATATAGGATATTTTTCTGGTCCATGGGGTCGCGAAGAGTCGGACTCGACTGTGCGACTGAACAACAACAAGGATACTTTTATTGCAGTACTTAACATTAGACCTGTACTTTTCTATAATCCATTAGAAGCTGCTTCATACCAAATGCATCAGGAAAAATGCAGCTATTAGTAATTTGTTTTGAAAAGGCCATGATTGCTTCAAAAGACAATCTAATATTTGTTGGTTTTCCTCCCCCCACATATGGTGATTGAAATGGTAGGAAGGGCCTTTAGGGAAGTGCTAGCCATCAGTGTCGACACTGAAGGATTTCAGGATTTTGAGGTATTCTTTGCTTGCACTGCTTAACCATAGGAAGGGATAGAGCAGACAAGAATGCGGGAAAGGACCCTACGCACCAGTGGTTGTGCATCTCTTCCATAAAGCGAATACAGTATAAGGTTTTTTAAAGTGTCTCACCCAATTCTAAGCCGCATATTAATATATCTAATTCTTAACATGGCCCACCTGTGGATACTTAAATCTGGAGATTGAAGCCATGCACAGAGAAGACAGATCATTTTACAAACCTGAGAAAAGCCCTAGGTTTACAGAAAAATCTGTTACCAGAAATACATTTGGGGATTAGCCCCTCCCTCCAAAAATTAGAAGGAGAAGAAAAGAATGCTCTCTCAATGGCCACGATGAGGTTTACTGTCTGAATCGGATCTCTGCATGTCGTGCCTGTGGTTGGACCAGGGGTCAGACTATATGCACACTGGTGTTCTGATGAACATAGCTTGCCTGCTTGTTAACTGTCTTTGCTTTGCATTCTTATCATCCTGGCTTATAGTTCCCATCCTTCACGTAACACCTGCTAGTCATGTTTCAGTCAGTTCACACAGATCCTCCTCTGACATTCTCAGGATGTGGGGGATGGTCGAGACAGGCTTGAATGTGTATTGTAGATAGCGCGCTTTGTAATACTGTATAAGGATCCTCCTACATGGAGGCCAAGAGATTCTTCGCGTTTCTGAGATCTCATGGCCTTGTGGGTAGTGTTGCAGATAAACGTTCACTCCATTATAATTTGTACTTTGTTAACCTGTCTCTGTCACACGTAACCATGACGTATGAATGTGGGCTGAACCAGCGTTCTCGTAGATCATGCTTTTGAACTATTTGCCATTACTGTCAAAGAGTTTGATTCACCGGCAGCTCTTCTGATTTCTACAATAAAATCCATAAGTGGACTTATTGCATCTGAGAGTTACTGTAGAGTCTCACAGATTGACACACACCGCAACTATGGTAAAGGTGAAGGTTCCCTTGCTCGAAAGCCAGTCGAATCCGACTCTAGGGTTGCGGTGCTCATCTCCATTTCAAAGCCGAAGAGCCAGCGCTGTCCGAAGATGTTTCCATGGTCATGTGGCCGGCATGACTAAACACCAAGGTGCACGGAACGCTGTTACCTTCCCACCGAAGTGGTACCTATTTATCTACTTGCAATGTCTTGCTTTCGAACTGCTAGGTTGGCAGGAGCTGGGGCCAGAGACGGGAGCTCACTCCGTCATGCGGCACTCAGGTCTCGAACTGCTGAACTACTGATCTTCCAGCCAGAAGCCTTGCTGGGCAAAAGCCCCACTTGGCCCTGCCCACTTCCTAAAGACACTTGGGAGGCACCGGGGAAATGTTTTGGTGGGCCCCACGGCAGCCATGGGCACCACGTTGTGGACCCCTGTTCTACAGCGACTCTTCATATCTATATATCTAATTCCGAAGTCGCCCCCTGGTGTGCGGATACTTATTTCCGCACATCGGGGGGACCTGGAGGGGAGGGAGATGTTTGTGCACACTTGGGGCAGTCCCCAGGTGCGAGTATCGCGGGTCCCGCCCCCTTGTGGTATCTATTGGCAGCCTGAGGTTCCAAGAGCTTTTTCAGAACCTCCGCCACACACCTGGCATTAATGGGGCCTGTGGCTTAGAACGTCTGCAGGCGGAGTCCTGAATCTTGATTGAAAGAAACCATTGCTAGTGATAATGGATATGCTACTTGTGTACATGATTTCAGGAGCACAATAAAATCCCCTCAGGTTTACCATCAAGTAACTATGTAGGAGCTGCAGTGGCTCAAGTGGTTAAGACACTGAACTGCAGGCTGTGGAAGGTCAGTAGTTCAGCAGTTCGAGACCCGGGTGCCGCATGGCTGGAGTGAGCTCCCGTCTCTAGTTCCAGCTCCTGCCAACCTAGCAGTTTGAAATTGCAAGAAATTGCAAGTCGATAAATAGGTACCGCTTCGGTGGGAAGGTAAGAGCGTTCCGTGCGCCTTGGTGTTTAGTCATGCCGGCCACATGACCACGGAAACGTCTTCAGACAGCGCTGGCTCTTTGGCTTGGAAACGGAGATGAGCACCGCAACCCTAAAGTCGGACTCGACTGGCTTTCGAGCAAGGGAACCTTTACCTTTAACTATGTGGTGAAGGCGTATTGTGGGTTAGCCTACACAAGCTGGTTGACAGGTGTAAATAAACACTACTGACGCGGAAAACATCATGACAGCTACTTTCCTTCAGTGAACCAAGGAAAGACAGTCTTTTGAGATGTTGTGTTGACCTTTTGAATCTAAGGGGAGCAACAAGGGAATGACTCGCATAAAGTTGTTAAATAACGGTTACTGTGGTTTTCTTTTGCAGTGTGTGCAATGTATATCAAGAATTTGCCTGTTCTTCAGCGACTTAAAAGGGATGAATTCTTTGATCAAGGTGAAGCCATCCGAACATTATACTACCTATAAGCTCATGCCTGCTTACTTAAAAGTAAGTTCCACTGTATTCAGTGGTGCTTACTCCTAAATAAGTACAGGATGGCAGCATTAAAGTTTTAAGTAGGTGTTGAATCTGGTCCGTACCTCAGGAGTTACTATGACAGAGTAACTCTATACTCATTTCCTCTTCTAATTTAAGCAGAGGTCATTTCATAAAAAAGAGGTGCAGGAGCTCATTAGCATAACTCATTTGCATATGCCACACCCCCTAACATCACCAGAAGTGTGTCAGAAGGCAACACTCACCGCTCAGGCTCCACTAGACTGTTCTGGATTGCTAGCTATTGGGGGGGGTGGAAACATGCAGAACTGTCCTTGCAAAGGAGGGAGAGCTTGTACCTGAGTAAACCTTGGTCTTTAAGGTGCCACTGGACTCTTTTGGATTGCTAGCTACGGGGGGGGGAACGCGCAGATCCTCGTGCTCCTAGTGGCCTGAGGCTGCTGGGAGCAGGGGGTGGAGCTTGTTGCATGTGCCCGCCCCCCTGGGCTCCCGCAGGAAATGACCCCTGAATTTAAGTATCCATCCAAGATAAAGCAGAGGTTTGGTAAAATCAAAGGCTCTCCAAAAGCTGCGCTACTAGAATCATTTTGGAAAGATCACAGGAAAGCTGGGGAGGTTGCTGTGTGGACAGGCAAGTCCGCACCTTTCCCAGTCTTGCCCACACCACCACCAGTTCCCCTGCCCCCCCCCCAGCAGCCATTCCCCTCTTCCATGCCATCAGGGCTGCTGCTTTTTTTAATTTTAAAAGTCAGTAATTAGCGAATCGCATTATACAAATTATAAGGATAACTTTTCAGTTACCCAATAAAAAGAACAAAGAAGGCCTCCATGGGGTTAGAATCACCACACTGGGGATCCCAGACAGGAAGAGCGCAGGACACACCGACCGATTTCACACAAGAGCTCCGCTGTGGTCGCGCCTCCCTTTGCCCCCCGTTGTATTGGTCAATTTCCCACTCGAAGCCGCGCAGCCGCATTTTGACCCACGGCTTCACCCGATTTTCCCCACGGTTTCCTGATCCTCAAAAAACAGGCTAAGCATAATAGAAATTGTGCAGATAAATGTTGGAAATGTAAAAATAAGACAGGTACATTTTATCATATGTGGTGGCTTTGTGATGTAACAAAGAGATACTGGAGATGGGTCCACAAGTTGATGCAAGAGATATCGAGAATTAAAATACTATTTTTGCCTGAAATATTATTACTAAACATATTTCCAAAGGAGTTTGATAAAGGTGATAGATATTTGATAGTACACCTATCTACTGCAGCAAGAATATTACACGCAAAATATTGGAAACAAATGGAAACACCAAAGAAGCAAGAATATGTGAATAAACTGTTGGAGACGGCTGAAAATGACAAATTGTCATCGTTGATGAGAGGGACAACAGACCCAACATTTCAAAAGAAGTGGAAAAAACTGTATGGTTGGTACAATATAAATGCATAGCTTAAAGTAATGAAATTTTTGGTATTATTAATCTTTTTTAGTTAAATAGAAACTATGGTAAAAAGATAAGAGTATACAGAAACTTAAGCAAACTTATAGAAATTCTTTAAATATGGTAATAGAGTTATAAGAAAATATACTGATCTCTTTGTATGTTTTATGTGTGTAAGTGGATGTTTGTTATGTAGTATGTTTGTTTGTTGGTGTATAATATGAACAATAATAAAAGTGTACCTTATGGGTACTTTAAAAAAACAACAGTATCACAAAACCGTGGGGAAAATCGGGCGAAGCCGTGGGTCAAAATGCGGCCGCCCAGCTTCGAGTGGGAAATTGACCAATACAAGCGAGGCAAAGCGGCGCAGCTCTTGTGTGAAATCGGTCACCATTATATGGAAGCCCCATTGCTGCTGTACTGAAATGACAACCACCCTGCTGATAAGGAAACCCAGGAGGCCCCTTGCTGTGTGGAAGTCATCCCAGGTTTGAGAAAGATTGCAATAAAACGGGGAAAGAATGAAGGAAATTGAATAGAGGGCAATGGTGCTGCTTGTAAGGAAGCCGACAAGAAACCAGACAGACCTGTGTAATAAAAGATGCTACAACTAAAGGAGTAATGTCTAATATAGACAACAAAATAGGATCCATGCACAAAGTATCATAAAGCCCACACAGGTACAATTCTCACGTAATAAGAACCAATAAATACAAGAAGAAGAAGAAGAGAAGAGATTGGATTTATACCCCGCCCTTCACTTGGAGTCTCAGAGCGGCTTACAAACTCCTTTCCCTTCCCCTCCCCACAACAGACACCCTGTGAGGTGGGTGGGGCTGAGAGAACTCTGACACAAACTGCTCTTTTTCAAGGACAGCTGTGCCAGAGCTTGTGACTGACCCAAGGTCACATCAGCAGGTGCAAGTGGAGGAGTGGGGAATCAAACCCGGTTCTCCCAGATTAGAGTCCGCACACTTAACCACTACACCAAACTGGCTCTCAAATTCCATGGGAAGTCTTCAAAATGCTTGTATGCCGGCCACATGACCACGGAAATGTCTTTCGACAGCGCTGGCTCTTCGGCTTGGAAACGGAGATGAGCACCACATCCCTAGAGTCAGATGCGACTGGCTTTCGAGCAAGGGAAACCTTTACTTTTTACCTTTATATCTCCTTTACAGGAAACTGCACTCTTGTGAGTCACTTTAGAAGCACACGCTATCCATCTGGTGCAGAAACTGTATTAGGTGTATTGGTAAAGTTCTTGCATGTTGTTTACAATTTTCATAATTTCCAGTATTGTGTTCTTAGTGTTATTTTTTAATGTCTAGTCACTTCTGAGGAAGTTCAACGAAACGACGTTTATAATATCCAGATCCTTCATTCATTGTACATTGTAATGACTTATCTGCAAGCATTTTGAAGACTTCCCATGGAATTTGTATTTATTGGATCTTATTACATGAGAATTGTACCTGTATGGACTTTATGATACTTTGTGCATGGATCCTATTTTGTTGTTCATATTAGAGTCACTGCATTACTCCTTCAGTTGTAGCGTCTTTTATTACACAGCTGTGTCTGGTTTCTTGTTCCCTTGCTGTGTAATCCTCGCAGGGCTCTTTTTGTAGAAAAAGCCCAGCAGGAACTCATTAGCATAATAGGCCACACCCAACAGCAGGAACTCATTAGCATATTGGGCCACACCCCTGCCAGCACAGCTCATTAGCACATTAGGACGCACCCCCATGCTACCAGAAGTGTGGTCATCCAGCCACACCCACCTTTTGCTTCTTATTCTGTTTTCCTTGTTTGTTGTCAAAACCCAGGGCCTTTTTTTGTAGCAGGAACTCCTTTGCATGTTAGGCCACACACCCCTAATTGTAGCCAATCCCAGGGGTCGTTTCATAGAAAAAGAGCTAGGGGCTCTCATTAGCATAACTCATTAGCATATGCCACACCCCCTGACATCACCGGAAGTGTGTCATAAGGCCACACACCCCGCCCCCAACGGTCCATGCCGCCACCGCCGGCCTTGCAGCTCCACTGCCGAGCCCCACAAGGGGCCTGGCGGTGGACATGCAAGGTCGGCGGGAGTGCAAGGAAGCCCTGCGAAGGCCCTCCCTGGCCCCAGGCAGGCAGGGGTGGGGAGAGGCAGGGAGGAAGCAACTTACCCTCCCTCTTCTCCTGCCTCCTCCTGGCTGAATGAGGGCTGGAAGCGGGGCGGCCGAAGCAGGGGACGGGGCTTCGTCATGTGCCCCGCCCCCGTACCTCACCCGGGGGACCTGCGATCCCCCCCGAAATTACCTCTGGCCAATCCTAATGAGTTTCTGCTATTAGGTGTGGCCTATTATGCTAATGAGTCCCTGCTGGGCGTGGCCAACTTGGGAGCCAGCCGGAACTCCGTTCCTGTGCGTTCCTGCCCAAAAATAGCCCTGCTTCTGTATATGTAAGGAAGCCAAGGGAGAGCAAAACATCTGCGTGGAAAGGGAGAAAGGCAAAGTGTGGAAAGGCTTAGGCACTGCCTATCCCTGCCGCTTCTCTGGTTCCATGTGACAAACATCCAGCTTTTCTCTCTAATAATCGCTTCAGCACGTCCACGTTTTGTGGTCTTCTTGTGTCAACTGGAAATGAACAAACCCAGATTCTTCCCTGTGCTCGTTCTGTCAATTAAGTAACTCCAGAACGTTAAAGTAGATTGTGGTATATGATTCTTTTCTCTCTGCTTTTCCTCTGGAAGTGAGAAAGCAACCGTCATTGCGCATGTTCATCGGCAGGGAAACAAGAAAAAGGAGGAGATTCGACATACATCAGTGCAAAGAGATATAATACTGGGGCAAAAACTATTTTCTTATAGATGCTAATAACTTGTCTGTAACTTCCTAGGAAGAAATTGTCGGGCAATCCATTTTAGAAACATACTGAGAATCGGAATAGTTATTTTTTTTTTTCACGGTGATATTATTCTTCTGTATTTAATTTTAATTTTTTGCTTTTTCTTGCAGCTGGAAAATACATCTTAGGTGCAACAATTGCAGGATGCATTTTCTGGGGCTTAATCTATGGTCTGATCATTTGGTATTTTAAGTGGTAAGTAGGCAGAATGCCACAAATGGGGTTGAATGTGCACACATTGCTATGTATCTGCTGGGAAAATATTCTTTGCTTGAAATTTATAATTGCTGGTAAACTGACATTCATATAAGAATGTTTTGTAGAGCTAGAATGATACACAGTGCACCTCATCAATATATTCCATTCTTTAGCTATCCCCCATCTGTGGTCAGCTAATTGCAGACACTGGGGCCATGAACAGAAAAGACAGAGCTTTCTGCAAAGCTGAGAAAAGCCCAATGTTCACAAAAAAAATCTGAAGTCTAAAAAACAATAATTTGGGGAGCATTGAAACTCTCCAAAATGATAGAAGCAGTGCATAAAAGAATGCCCTCTCAGTGGCCACTGCGGGGTCGCTAGGCAACCATAACACTATTGCCACTTTCAAGCCTTGGTTTCTGTCAGTAAAAGGCAGGGGGTTGGGCAGTGCTCTTTATAGGGATACTTTGGCCTTTAAGGGAGGACTCATTGGGGCCAGGCCCAGCAGCAACCACTGAGCATCTCACTACCTTGCAACTAGCCATTACTCTCCCAGGCCCAGCTGCTTGCTGCTGTTCGACAACAACCAGTCTCCCCACCAAAGCCATTGTGGTTAGCGTTTCAGAGTCAGACTAGCATCTAGGAAACCCAAGTTAGAATCACCACTCTGTTGTAGGAGCTCACTCGGTGACTTTTGGCCAGTCACACGGTGTAACTTACCCAGGGTTGCCAAGTCGAATATCCTTACCGGTGGGGGAGCGTCGCTGGGCTTCGGGAGCTCTCCTCTGATGTGTGTGCACGCGCGTGAAGTGCGCGCGCGCGCGCTGCCAGCACATCCCAGAAGTTATGTGCGACGTCGATCACGTTGGGGGCGTGGCCCCGATCATCGGAGGGAAAACCATAGAGTTTCCCCTCCGAGGATCGGGGCCACGCCCCCAACGTGATCGACGTGGTTGCGTCACCTCTGGTGACGTAGCCACGCTGCGCTTCGGGGGGCGGAGTTCCCCCCGGGGCCTGATTCCACGGCGGCGGAAATCGAGCCTCCAAAGCAGGGGTTTACCCGCCCCCACTTGGCAGCCCTAAACTTACCTTATATGGTTGATGTGAGGATAAAATGGAGAAGAGAATGATATAAGCTGCTTTTGGTCTCCACGGTGAAGCAAAGTGCGGTATAAATGAAGTCAATAAATAACATAACGGAAAATGGGTAGATAAAAGGTAGGTGGTGGGTGTGTGGCTGGGAAGCGGAGAAGAAACCAGGGACAGGTGAGGATATGGGCATTGCCAGGAGGAAGGAAAGAGGAAATAGTGTGGGGAGGGGGACACAGAGGAAAGTGAGGTGCCAGCTCTATGTCCTTGCAAATTCCCCACTGTGCAACTGGGCCTGGAGTGGCCCAGTGGCTGGCCCTGTGCAGAGTTTTCCCAGGAAGAGGCTGCCAGGGGGAGGGAAGGTTGAAGATGGAGGAAGAGATAAAGGTAGATTGACTGATGGGGGGGGGAGTAGAGGAGGAAGCAGGAAAAGTGCCCCCCCCCCGTCTGCCCGCCCCCCGCCTCTCTGGGACTCTGCAGTCTGGAGATCAGTTGTAATTGCCAACTCTCCCAGTGGGTGAGGAACATTTACAGATCCTTCTTCCTGTTTGTTTTAATCGCTCTGTGTGTGTCTGTGTGTGTGTGTGTGTTAGGGTTGCCAAGTGAAATGTTCTCCGGGAGCCGTTCTTCGACATGCGCATGCACACGCTTTGTGCATGCGCACCACCAACACGTCACCGGAAGTGACGCGCGACGTCAATCACGTTGAAGGCGTGGCCCCGTTCATCGGAGGGAAAAGCATAGAGTTCCCCCTCCGACGATCAGGGCCACGCCCCCAACGTGATTTACGTGGTTGCGTCACCTCCGGTGACGCAGCCATGCTGCGCTTCCGGGGGCGGAGTTCCCCCCGGGGCCCGATTCCG